GCCCTGCTGCCAGAAGGAGCCAAGAACTTGACCTGAGAAGGAGCCCAGTGGCCGGTCAGGCTTCCTGGGAAAACCCCCCGGCCATACTGCTGGCTGCCTGCTCTCACATGGCCCTTGTGGGGTCACTGCTGCCCCAACCCACTGCCCAGTACCAGCCTGGGGCCCCAGAATGCAGGACAGGTGAGTCAAAGTATAGAGGTGGTAGGAGGGGGCAAAGGGCAGGGGCATAGCTGGGGCGGGGAAAACCCCAGACAGGGCAATCCAAGGCCATTGCCACCCTATAGGCCTGTGTGTGGAGAAGGGCCTGGGGTCAGCTGCAGCCTGTCCCCCAACAGCTGGTTTGCAGCTGTTCGTGCCCTGGCTCCAAAGCTAGGGGAGGCCCAGGAGAGAAGCGGGGCGCCTGGAGGGCAGGTTTCAAGCCGTTGGTCCCCGGTAGGAGCAAAAACCAGCCTTTGGTTCTAGTGTCTGCAGGGCAGAGTATGGGAGTCTAGGAGGTAGCCCAGTGGGTGGGACGCCCAGGGTGCTCAGAGGGGGAGACCTCTGCAGAGGTGACAGCAGTGAGAGTTTCCCCTGAAATCCAACCCACCCAGCTGCTGGTCCCATGAGCCTCTGGGGCCTGGACAGAGCCGCCAGCGTGGAGCTCCAGGGGCCCTCTGCCAGCCTCGTTCTGGGGCCTTCCTGGTCTCCTGGCCCTGCTAGGTCCGGCTGGCTTCCTGTATCTTCCTGCCTCTGCAGATCGCTCCCCCTGTCTGTTCTTTCTGCTTCCCCACTGCTTTCTCGGCTCTCCCCTCTGCCTCTTTGTCTCATCCGTGGGCGCTGAGTCCGCCAGCCTTGACTTCTATAGAGAGTGCATGTGCTGTTGAACTAGAAGCAACATGGAGACCAAGTGCGGTGAGTGGTCCGAAGGAAATAGCACGGGTTTAGGTGCTGGCGTGGGAAGGGGGCACATGGAGGGCTTCCAGGAGGAGGCGACTCTCCTGCCTCCCAGGTCCTCCCTGGAGTGTCCGCATAGGACTCTGGCAAAGCCGGCCCAGCACAAGGAGTCTTGCCCAAGGGAGTCCCCTTACACTCTAGCCTCCAGGACAAATCCCCAAGCGGGAACACATCACACACACATCAAGGTCACTTCTTGAGCAAGCGGCCTTGTCCTGAACTCCGCTGAGATCTCTGAGAGAGCCCTCAAGGCTCCCAGGCACTGCAGCCCCTGAACCCAAGCCTGTGTCCTCAAGTTCATGGCCTTATGTGGGCCACACTCACAGCTGGCGGGCCTCATCCACCCCAAATCTCTGCACTCTCAAGGGCCAGGCAGGGGAGAAGGAGGGCCAGACCCATAGTCACCTCAGGGCCCCTGGAGCCTAGCGTTGGGACATCCAGGAGCCCCGAATGGATAAGTTATGCTCAGGGGACCTTCTGGGTTAAGGGGTCTGGGACCAGTCCCTGAGAGGCTCGTGCTAACATGCTCAAAGGGGAGCCGAGTGGTTGTGGAGCAGCCGAGCCTCCACGAACTGGAAGCTTCCCAGTGCCGATGGCCGAGGTGTGGCCGGTGAAAGCTGGCACTCTCTATGCCAGAGCTTTTTTTGACCTTCCCTGAGGACATAATCACACAGTGGCTCTCCGCCCAGCACTGCCAGGGCTGTAATTTCAGGGCCTGAAGGGGGCTCTGTGCAGGCTGGCCTACGGCTAGCTATCTTTAGAGAGGCACGGTCTGGGTGTGGCCAGACGAGGGATGGTGGACAGGGGCTGTGCCACGGGGAGGCAGCCATCTGTGCTAATCGCCTTAGAAACCTGCCAGACACAGTTGCCATGAGACACCCCGGGGGCCCCCATGGTCTTTCCCTGGGGGAGGCCAGCCCCTAGGAGCTGTGCTTAGATCTGCTAGCTGCCTGCAGGGTAAGGGGGCTCAGGTGGGGGTGGTGGGGGAGGGTGGGTACAGGGGATGGGGGCCTTGCAGCTAGTGTCTCCTGGCCTGGCCCTGGGTGGCCGCCAGGGTGGGGGAGGCGTGGCCTAGGGCATATGACCTTCGATTCTAGTCTATCCTTTGCCTCCCTCTGCTCCATATCCTCCTTCCTGGGCCTGTGTCTCTGGATTTGGGAGCTGGAACCAAGCTTGCCTCAACGAGGGGTGTAAGGCAGCAGGAAGGCACGGGACCGGATGTGCAGGAGGCTAGGCAGGGGACCTGTGAAGGTTGGCCCTCAAGTCAGGACACTGGGGACAGAGAGGAACAGGCGGGTTGGAGAATTTGGAGGTTGATGGGCAGGGCTCTGGGTCTGTGGCTGGGAGTAGGGGTTCAGACATGCAAAGGTTTATTTATTGTTTGTTAATCCTCACCTGAGGATTTTGTTCCATTGATTTTTAGAGAGAGTGGAAGGGAGGGGGAAAAACACACAGAGAGAAACATCGATGTGAGAGAGACACGTTGATTGGTTGCCTCCCGCACTTGTCATGACTGGGGCCAGGGATCGAGTCTGCAACTGAGGTACATGAACTTGACCGGATTTGAATCCGGGACCCTTCAGTCCGTGGGCCAATGCTCTATCCACTGAGCCAAACCATAGGGCAAGATGGGCAAGTTTCCATTGAGGTCCCTGAGAGGAGACATCAGTCCAAGCCCAAAGAATGCAACACTTCTCTCTGTCCTCATGTCGCTCCTCACATTTGTTAGATTGTGTTCCCCTCCCAGTCCCCACTGACACCCCCTTACCCACTCCTACCCTTGTCTCAATCCAGGGGCCGATGAGTGCCTCCCTACCCCAGTTACTCCTACCCTGCAGTCACCATCACAGTTACCAGTGTCCCCCCAGATCCCCACCAATGGAGCCAGCACCTGCCCTGAAGGGGGACACAGTACCTATCCCCATGCAGGTATGCATGAGCAGAGGATGGGGGTTGACGCATGCATGGAGAGTAGGTGGGCACCAGGTGACAGTCAGGCAAGGTGTCCACAGCACTGCACTCGCTCTCTTGGCTGGGTTCTGTCTAGGACGTCCCTGGTTGGGACTGTTGACCATCCCCTAAACTCCGTGTAGGCTAATCCTCCCCTCAGCAGTTGGCTTCCCAGGAGGCTCTGCTGTCCCGGCTGCCTTGGGCTTGGCTCCCTTCAGGGGGTCACCCAAAGGATTGGCTTCTGGGCCTGGGTTCAGCCCACCTGCCAACAGCCCCAGAGGCCTAGCAGCTTCCAGTCTGGGAGTGGAATGAACTTGGCCACTACCTGTGGGCTGCCTGCTCCTCCATGCCCTGCCCTACCTCTGCCCTTACCCCCACATGGCAGCCACGTTACCCTGTCCTTCTCATCCAGGCCCTTGGATCTCATCCGCTCAGGGGAGGAAGAAGTGGAGGGTTTGTTCAGCCCCAAGTTCCTGTGCTCCCAGGGGCCTGACCTCTGTGTCTGTGGAGAAGGAGGCAGCTGGGGGGTAGCCAGAACAGGAGGGGTGGGGAGGAGGGGTCATGAGAGCTGGGAAAGCAGCAGCCTTCCCCATCAGGGCCAGCGCCTCAAGGGCTGCTGACCTCTGACCCAGCCCAAACAGGAAGTGCCATATCTGTGGGCCCAGGCCGGGTTGGAGAAGGAATGCAGGGATGAGTCCAAAGCAAACACTCCGCCAGCTTCCCAGGCCTCGTCCCACCCCCTGCCAGAGTCTGGCCTTTTGTCTGTTGAGGACTGGGGGAGGGGGTGGGGGTGGGTGGCTACAGAATGCGACCGATGTCAGGCTTACAGTTCCCAGGCCCAGACTACAGCCGGAGATAGTGGCAGGGCAAGGTCTCTGCAGTGGGGACTTGGTGTCCTTCCTGCTTCACTCCCCGCACAGCCAGCAGCGCTGAGGGCTGGGGCCGGTCCCGCTCCTACTGCATCCTTGATGCCTATCACTTGGCTGCCTCCTCTCTCCCCATCCTTCTCAGCACCATGTATGGAGGCATCATGAGCTGTCAGGGCTGACCCAGTGACCCCACCCTAGTCCTGGTGGCTCCCCTCGCAGGGGCAGGGCAACTGTTCCAGTGACCTCATGGGGCTTCATGGACCCTGTGTCCCCACCCAGCACAGCTGGCCAGTCCTCTCCTCACGGCTCAGCAGGACTCACCACCACAGCTGGCCCGTGTCTACGTCTGCCTCCCCCACCAGGCAGACAAGTCAGCAACTTTGGCCAAGGAACAGTGGCTGCTGGATCCCCAGGGCCAGGCCTGGCCTCCCAGAGACCAAGTGCTCCTTTCCCAAGAGTTGTTGAGCAGATGCCACTCCCCACCCTTACCTGGCACCAAGTTGCACTGGGGACATCTGGATCCCACAGTCTTGGATGCCTGGGGGAGCTGGGAACCCACAGGCTAGCTTGGGGATGGGTGTGTGCCTGGGATGGGGGAACCAGGAGGAGGGCCCGGGGACCTTGAACAGGGGAAGAGGGTGAAGCAAGGTGTCCCTGGCCTGGGTGCAGTGGTAGATGTGGGCGGCTCCAGGACAAAGGGCCAGCATCACGGGCCTCCGTGTCAGCCTCTTCTGCCAGCTAAGACCATCTCTTCTTCTCCCCCCACCCGCCCCTTGGACAGGATGCTTCGTGGATGACAGGCACTGATGATGCTCTGAGCAACAGAGGCCATCCTGGCCCCCAGATGGTTTGGGGACTTCAGGACCCTGGCCAGGGCAGATGAGGATGAGGAGGCTCTTGGAGAAGCTTCCGGAATCAGGCATTCTCAACCTGATGAAGCAATGTCCAGGATGTGGGCTCTGGGGACTCCACACACAGTGGACATCCAGCATACGCACATGGCTTCGATCCAAGATGGAGGGTGGGTGGGGGGAGGCTTGAATAAGACGCATTTATTACGTTCAAGTCCGAACCAGCGCTGCACCTCACCAGGCCGGTTACTAAGTGAAGGGGCCTCAGCAATTCATGGAAGAATCAGGGTGTTCTAGATCTTTCTCTAAGTGGTGCACAGATCAAGTGGACCTGAGCCTGAGCTCCCTTCTCCAGCCCCAAAGGATCGGGGATGGGGGAGCCCAGCAGGAGGGAGGTCTAGGAGCCTTCCCCCTCCCCCTGCTGGGGCTGGAGGACCACACTATGGTAGGCCCGGATGCAGGAAAAGGCAGTGGGTGGGATACGGCGCCTATCGATGAAGTTGTTCTCTAGGTGCGTGGAGATGAGGTTGGAGTCCTGGGCCGCTCGAGTGTCACAGATGGAATTCAGGGGCACGTGTCTGTGGAGTGGGGGTGGCAGGGCCGAACAGAGGAGAGAAAACCCCAGGAAGGGGAGGCAGGCATCACACAAGAGTAGAGGAAGAGAGGGCCCCACAGTGAGGGGGCAGTGAGACCATTGTGCAGGGACAAGACCCTTGGGCAGAGGGCCAGACAGGTGGCTCAACCCTTGTTGCTCTGGACTGGAGCTGTCCTACCTGCCCCTTGCCCACCCCCTGCCCAGATTCTGTTGTATGCTGCCCTCCACCTGGGCACAGCCTCCTATCACACCAGCTGAGATAGGTGGATGGGGGTGTGTGAAGGATTCCCCCATAGCCCCACCCTCAGCCTCTGAGGCTGCAGGGCCCACAGGCCAGCCCTCCCAGGCCCACCTGGTAGGCAGGGTCTGATGGCTCAGCCCTGGCTGGATGGGGGAGGGGGGAAAACAGCAGGATGGGTGCAGGTGGGCAGCCCTACCTGATCTTGTTGTGGCTCAGACGCAGCACCTGCAGCCCCTTGAGGCTCAACAGGCCTCGTGGGATGGCCTGCAGCTGGTTGTGATCCAGAAGCAGTTCTGCCAGGGAGGTGCGCAGGCCCCAGAAGGACACATCATGGATGCCGTCGGCGCGCAGGCTGTTGTAGGACAGGTGCAGGAACTCCAGGCCCGGTTTCATGTGTGCGAACACGTAGCCGGGAATGCGCTCAATGTGGTTGTGGTGCAGCAGCAGGCGCCGGAGGCCTCGTGGCAGGAAGGAGGGGACGTGCACAAGTCGGTTGTGGGACAGGTCAAGGGTCTCCAGCTTCCTGTGGGGCACAGGGGTTCCAGGGGAGTTGATGGCACCCAGCCATAAGCACCAGAACAGCTGGAACCCAGATCACGGTCCCTGGGCCACACCCAAGAGGAGAGTAGGAATTTGCCCTCCCAGAAGACACAGTCCAGCTGGTATAGCTCAGTGGTTGAGTGTTGACCTATGTATGAACCAGGAGGTCATGGTTTGATTCTCAGCCTGGGCACATGCCTGGGTTGTGGGCTTAGTCCTCAATGTGGAGTGTGCAGTAGGCAGCCAATCAAGGATTCTCTCTCATCATTGATGTTTCTATTTCTCCCTTCCTCTCTGAAACCAATAAAAAAAAATATATCCTATATAATAAAAGGCTAATATTCGAATTGTCCCCTTGCCAGAGGGTTCAACCAGGAGTTCAATTGGGAGTTCAACCAGGGGGCAGAGCTGGTTGGCCAACAGCCTGCAGCTCCTCCCCGCAGCTGGCCCTGCACTTGATCTCTCCACACCCCCCCCACCCCCATTGGGAAGGGCTGGCCAGACCCCATCCATGCATGAATTTGTGCAGCAGGTCTCTAGTATCCTATATAATAAAGAGGTAATATGCAAATTGACCCTCATGCCTTCATGTCACAAGATGGCCACCCCCATGTTGTCACAATATGGCCGCTCTCACATCATCACAAGATGGCCACTTCCACATTGTCACAAGATGGCCAGCAGGGGAGGACAGTTGGAGGTGACCATGCCTGCAGGTGAGGGCAGCTGGGGGTGATCAGGCTGACAGGAGAGCAGTTAGGTGTCAATCAGGCCAGAAGGGGAGTGGTTAGGGGGTTATCAGGCAGCCAGGCAGAGTTGTTAAGGGCAATCAGGTAGGCAGGCAGGCGAGTGGTTGGGAGCCAGCAGTCCCAGATTGTGAGAGGAATGTCTGACTGCCAGTTTAGGCCCAATCCACCGAGGGATCCCAGATTACAGAGGGTGCAGGCTGGGCTGAGAGACACCCTCCTTCCAGTGCACAAATTTTGTACACCAGGCCTCTAGTATATATTTAAAGACACAGTCAGAGCTACATTGGACAATAAAGTACAAATGGAGGGGCCTGTTATCTGAGAAAAGAGCGAAAGAGCTGGGGGCAATTGAATTGTCACCTGCCTTTCCCACTTAGGCCTGTTCCTGCTTTGCCCTTCCTTGGCCCCACAGCCTCCTCCTTCCATCCTTTCTCTCTTGTCCTCTTCCTGCCTTACTCAGGAAGAAGAGAGACAGGGAGGAAAAGAAAATCAATCTCTCAGAGGGCCAAGGCCTAGGGACCCTAAGGGGTCAAGGAGGCAGGCAGTGAAGCTCAGGCCTCCGTGAGCCCAGGTCACTCCATGGTAGGTGAGAATGAGGGCTGGTCAGGGAGATGATGCTTTTATTAATATAAGGCCCAGAGCAGGGAAAGTGGCTTCTCTCTCAGTGACATCCCCCAGCCCCTATAGGTGGGATCAGCCCTTTGGTCTTGGGGCCCATGCTGTCCTCAGGCCTCAGGGCTGGGGACTCAGGTACCTCCAGAGCCTGTGGAGCCAGCAGCCCCCACCTCTTCCACGATTCAGGGAAAACCTGAGCAATGCCAGCCAGGGTTTGACTGGTTGACTGGCTGCCAGCCTCTCCCCTCCTGAACCCCCCCTCACAGGCCCCCGTGGCGTGGCGGGAGTGGAACAGCGGCTGGGCGGCTCCTCCCCAGGCTGCTGTCTGCTTTCCTTTGCCCCCTTGGCAAGAACAGGAGAGGAAAAAAGAATAATTAAACCCAAACATTCTGGTAACTTTTTCCTGGAACACGAAGATGTGGGGCGGGAGGCTCTGATCCCTGCAATAGTAGGTTGGACTATCTGTCGACCCCTGTCTGTCTCTCCACCCCCACCCTGCTCCCTCAGTGCTGGTGTTAGTACCCAAGGATTGGACCCCACCAGCCCTCCTGCTGATCCCGAGACCATGTCCTGACTCCTGAGACAGTACCTTTAAGGACCAGATCTCCTCCTGGACCCTTCCAGCCAGCACCCCCACCCCGATGTCCAAACCAGATCAGGGGACTCATCCTGGAGCCTTCCTAGGATGGAAGTTGAATAGTGGCCCCCAAAACATATGTCTACCCAGAACCTGTAAACGTGATATTATTTGGCAAAAGGGCCTTTGTACATGTAATGAAGTCAAGGATCTTGAGATGCCATCATCCTGGATTACCCTGGTGAGCCCTAAGTGAAATGACAGGTGTCCTTATGAGACACAGAAGTGAGACAAAGAGAAGAAGCTACATGAAGACAGAAACAGAGACTGGAGTGATGTGGCCACGAGCCAAGAACACCTGGACCCATCTGAAACTATAATAGAAGAGGCAGGAAGGATCCTCCCCTGGAGCTTCAGAGGGAGCATGGCCCTGCTGACATCTTGATTTTGGGGCCCTGACCTCCAGAACCATAAGCGAGTCAATCTCTGTTGCTGTAAGTTGCCCAGTTTGTGGTAGTTTGTTACAGCCACCCCAGAACACTCATACATTTCTCTTTCCTGTGCCCCATCATCTCTTCCATGACTCTTATTCCCTCTGTTGCCTCTTAGCTAAACCCAGTGTCAGGCCAGCTCTTACCACCTGCACTGCCCTTTCATCCAAGCCCATGGCACCTCTTGGGTGAGCTTCCTGGATATCTGTAGGGCAAGTCCAGGCATGGGTGAGGGAAGGGGTTTCTGTGGCCTTGGGGATTCTGCCAGGTGGGAGACACAGGAAAATTGTGGAGGAGCAGGTGGTGGCTGAGGACCTAAGCCACCCTGAGCCCTGGGTGGAGAGACGGGTGACTCAGGTGACTCTCTGCTTTCCCACCTGATTCCCTGGGTTTATTTGAGCACATCTTCCCTCTCTGGTCTCCAGGTGCTCTTGGGGGTGAAGCTTGGGCAGTGCTAGGATGGTGGTGGCACTCACGGGAGGTCAATCCAAGCTCGGGGCGCCAGTCGGTCCTCCTGGAGCCGGTTGTTACTCAGCACCAGCACGCTGAGGCTGCAGCTGCGGTTCAGCGTGCGCTCTGTCACCTCCTCGATGACGTTGGCATCCAGGTGCAGCTCCTAGGGTCAAGGCTCGGGGTGAGTGGCTCACTCCCTGGTGGCCTGGCCCTGCTCCCTGCCCCCTTCCTTCCGGCCCTGTCTGTGGTACTCGGATGCCACAGTCTCTGCTCCTCTCAGGGCCATGGTCACCTGTGCAAAGGATCCCAGCGACATCTGCCAGTGAAGCCATGACTATTCAGGGTCCCACAAGACACAGCCTCAGAGAATACCGCCAAGCACAGGGGACCATGTGGCCCAGAGAGGGCAAGGACCTTGCTCAGGGACACCCAGTGGGTCCAGGAAAGTCCTGGAGGCCCAACTCTGGGCTCTTGGAAGGTGAGGTCAGGTGGAGGGGAGGCCTTTGGCGCTGAGGCCTTGTGGGTTTATCATCAAAATTCCTCCCATGGGCCCTAGCCAGTGTGGCTCAGTGGATAGAACGTTGGCCTGTGGACTGAAGGGTCCCAGGTTCCATTCCGGTCAGGGGCACATGACCAGGTTATGGGCTGGATCCCCAATGGGGAGCGTGCAAGAGGCAGCTGATCTATGATAATCTCTCATCATTGATGTATCTATCTCTCCCTCTACCTTCCTCTTTGAAGTCAAGAAAAATATTAAAAAAAAATACCCCATGGGCAGCACTATTAGCCAGCGGCAGATGCTCTGGTCATTTGGCCACAATACTGCCTGTCCAGACTCAGGCCCGCATCTCACCTGCAGGGAGGCTGGTAGGCCTGGCGGGATGGTCCGCAGCCGGTTCCGGTCCAGCCTCAGGTACAGCAAGCTGCTCAGGGACCGGAAAGCCAGGGGGGAGATGTTCCCATCATGCAGCTGGTTTCCTTCCACCTCCAGCGTCAGCAGCTGGCTGAGCCCTGCAGGGTAGGTGGGCAGAGGGGCACCTGAACCAACCGCAGAGCCACTGGGAGCTGCCTGCTGCTGCTGCCTCCTCTGCCCTCCTTCCAGGCTGCCCTGGGCAGCCCCTCCCCTTTCCCTCCCACAGCTTTCCAAGGCCTCCATGGCTGCCAGGCCTGAGCCCTTTGTTCCCTGCCCCTGGGGCTGCTCAAACCCTGGAAGCTGCTGTGCTGCAGCCCCTGCAGGTGGTTGTCATTCAGCTTGAGCTCCTGCAGGGAGGCGGGCAAGGCTGGCACAGTGGACAGCCGGTTTCCATCCAGGTTCAGCCGCTTTAGCCGCGTCAGATTCTGGAAGTGGGTGGGGGAGAAGGGGCTGGGGGCTTGTGTTCTTTGGGCTTATCCCACCCAGGGCCACACCTAATGGGTTGCATCACGGCTTCCAATTCCCCCGCTTAGATCAGGCCTGTCTGGGTTTCTAGAACCCGCCTTAGTTTCTCCCAGGACTGCTGTTCCCTGAATGAGCCCACAAATTTGTACTGCTTTCCACATTCCCAGCTATGGACTATGTCACCCCACATCATCCAAGCCCACCAGATACTCGGTGCTTCCTGTAGGCCTTGTCACCCAGGCAGGGGAGGGTGAGGAGCCATGGATGCCTGGGGCCATTTGGGGCTGGCCCAGCCCAGCCCCTGGGAGAGCAGGTGGCTGGGCTGCTGCGCACCTTTTTTTTTTTTTTTTTTTAATATATATTTTATTGATTTTTTACAGAAAGGAAGAGAGAGAGATAGAGAGTTAGAAACATTGATGAGAAACATCGATCAACCGCCTCTTGCACACCCCCTACTGGGGATGTGCCCACAATCAAGGTACATGCCCTCGACCGGAATCGAACCCGGGACCTTTCAGTCCGCAGGCCAACGCTCTATCCACTGAGCCAAACCAGTTTCGGCTGCTGCACACCTTGAAGGCACCGGGGTGCAGGCTTCGGGCATCCAGCTTGTTCTTGCTCAGGTCCAGCCACTCCAGGTTGGGTAGCCCCAGGAACGCGTGGGCTGGGATCTTGGCAATTTCATTCTCTGTGCACGCACACAGGGCAGCCATGTTCCATGCGTCCTTGTCCCCCTCCCGTCGGCCACTTGGTACCTCCCCCACTCGGGCGGAGGCAGCCAAGACTCACTTAAAGGAGCTGGTTCTTCTGCTGTCCTAGGTCAGAGCATCTTCTCCCTCCCAACCAGGACCCATGGGAAAGGGAACTACTTCCAGGGCACAGCGGGGTGGGGGGTGGCTACACTGGCCGAGGACCTACTAGCAGAGTAGCCTGGAGGTGCGGCTGCCTCACCCCTGCTGTAGGGGTGAGTGTGGGGCAAGAAGACCACTCACCTGCCAGGTAGAGCGTGGTCAGGCCAGGGTCAGTCAGGGCAGGGATGTGTTTCATCTTGGCATTGCCACAGGCGATGGCCGACTGGGCCAGGATGCATGAGGCTGGCAGGGAGGGCATGGGCTGCTCCATGGTGCCTGGGTCCGCAGGCCCATGCCCTTGCCTTCGCCTGCTTCCGGGCCTTCTCCGCCCACGGCCTGCAGTGTCTGGGATGCTGCTGCCACCGCAGCCTTGATTGCAGTCCTTCTTCTGTCGCCAGCCCCTTGGGCCACGGTGGTGGGGGGTCCCTGGAGAAAAAAACACAGTCCCAGTCCAGTCATATAGCAACAAGGGCCCACTGAGGGGCAGGGCCTTGCCCGGGGCCCTTAGATTTGCCAGCAGCTTGCCAGCTGGGCTGGAACACAGGGCCACCCTGGGCACCAAGGGTAAAGACCCAAATTAGAGCTGAGAGTGCCTTAGAAAGCTCCCCTCTGGCCCAACACGCCAGGGTCTATGAGAGTGGGACAGGTCTCAGTGGCTGGTGACTCTGGTGTGATCGGTAGCTGTTGGACCAAGTCTTGGCCTCTTCGGACTCACGCACAGCCTGTCCCCCCACCCCGGGGGCTGCCTGTCCTGACAAGTCTCACCTTTGAGGTGCCTCCTGGGCTTCAGGCCCCTTCTCCTAGCCTCCCAGCCTCCTGCCTTCCTGTCCTGGCCTCTCAGCAGCCACTGTGGCCTCTTGCACTGGAGGGAGGAGGGAATGGGGTCTCACCGGTCCTCAGGGACCTGAGTTTGGCCACCTGACGCCTGCTACCTCAGTCCCCACTGCAGCTTCAGCCTGGGCGGGGCCTGCTCTTGCTCTCAGGCTACTTGAGGTGACTTCTCTGGGCCAGCCCTGGCCTGGCAGGGGCCTTTCGGCTGGGTCTGGGGGCTGGGTGGGGACTCCATGGGCACCCTCCTTGGAGGTGGGCCATGCCTGTGCCCAGTTCAGCTGCCCATCCTCAGGCCTGTGCCAGCCACTGTTCTTGGGAATGGGTTGCCCCTGCAGAAGGAGCCAGTTCAGGCTGGGGTGGCCAGGACCCCTAAATGGCTGACAGGCCACACCTCCTTCTCCTTAGCTGGGGGTCAGCTACAGGCTGGAAGCCCTCTTACTTTATTTTTTTAAAATCCTCACTTGAGAGTATTTTTTCATTGATTGTTTGTTAGAGTGGAAGAGAGAGGGAGGGAAAGATAGAGAGAGAAACATTGATGTGAGAGAAACACATGGATTAGTTGCCTCCTGTACGAGCCCCAACCAGGGCCCAGGCCAGGGAGGAGCCTGCAACTAATGTACATGCCCTTGACAGAAATCGAACCTGGGACCCTTCTTTCTGCAGGCCCACACTCTATCCACTGAGCCAAATCAGCTAGGGCTCTCTCCCTTTCTCTCTGTGCCCAGGCATCACTTCTGCCTTTCTATCCTCTCCAGGAGCTCCCATCCTCTTGTTACTGACTCCCGGGGCCATCAAGTGTCAGAGATTTCCTGGTCTCCTCCCCATCTTTTCATGGCCCCAGTGTAGGGGACCCCTAGCACCAGAGTCACCCTGCCTGCCTCTCAGGACTGAGGCAGCTCTTTACTGCTGGGGACGCTCCATCCTGTCAGGGCAAGGCACAGCGAGGAGGGAACGGGGTCTTCCTGGGGTGGGCACAGGAGGGCTTCAGTGGCCTGGGCAGAGGTTCTGGGCCTGCTCCTAGGCCTCCAGGCCCTATGGGTGCTGCCTGGACAGGAGGGTGGACAAAGCCTCTGGAGATCCGAAGGGGTCGCTGCCACCTGGCAGCTTGCTTTCAGAAGTGGGAGCCCCAGTGCCTGCTGAGAGGGAAGCTTGCTGGGGGCAAGGCAAGCCCAGAGGCCACTTAAAGGGGCCATCAGCCATGGCTAAGGAGGGGCAATAGCCCCCAGGCCTCCCCTCCACTGCGTGGCAGTCCTGTTTAAACAGTATTGACCATAAGCCTCCCTGCAGGTCCACTCCTGGCCCTTCCTCCCCACCCCCAAGCCTGGGGATGGGCCAACAACCACTGGCCACACCATAGCTGATTTCCCTTGTGCTACCCCACCCCAGTTCTGGGCCCCCCACTTCCAACCTCCTATGTTTCTCTCAGTCTCCCCAGCAGGCCCAGCACAGCCAGCTCAGCTCCCCAATCAGAAAATCTAGATCCGTTCTTCCAGCCCCACTGCAGTGGCCCCTCCTGGGCAGGGGGGCTCTCACTTCCCCTGCTCACCCCCTGCAGGATAGGCATGGGGCTTCTAAGAATCTTCAGTCCACCCCATGCCCCAAGGGGATGGTTCCCTGGGGCCGTGGGACCCTCCAAGGCCCCCTCCCGCACCCGAGGTGGGCAGCCTTGGGTGACCAGCTTTCTTTCCCTCTGCCTCAGCCCCGGGGGGTTCCACTGTGGGACAGGGCACCCCCCTCCTGCCAGCCTCCTCCTGCTGGTGCCACCTACTCACCATCGGGATGCCCAGGCATGACGGGCAGCAGCAGCTGCAGGGAGGGCAAGCCCGTGGGGGTTGGTGGGGCCATGGGCTCTCTCAGGTTCAGCCTCTTCTTAGCCAGGGCCCCTCCCGGGCAGCACCCCACCCAGAGAGCCAGGACAGGGAGCAGCATGGTCTTCATGGCCACGTAGGGTGCGTGCATCGGCAGAGAGAATGAATAGCTGGGAGCAGTGGGGAGCGGTGGCCCTGGCACGAAGGGGCACCTCTGATGGCACCGGACAGTCCCGCTCCCTGAGCTCCTGGCCCTGGCTGCAGTGCTCTGAACCGCCCCCACCTTAGCCCTCCCCCAGGAATCCCCCTCCAAACACACCTCCCCAGGCCTTGCTCCCCACTTCCCCCAGCATCCCCTGCTCCCACCTGAGGAGAAAGGCAGATTGATTTTTTCTTGGGCCTCAGTGCTCTCGCTGCTTTCCTGTAAGGCCTGCGTTTATTCTCCACTGGCCCGAGCCCAGTGGCCCCCATGAATGAGGCTTCTGTCTCCGCACACAGCGGGCCTGTGAGGCCCACCGCAGAGCAGGCCGCCTGCCCGAGGCTGCCAGGTCCTACCTCCGCGTCTGGGAAAGGAGAGGGGCCGGGCCTCGGGTCCTCAGGAGAGAGGGCAAGTACCAGGCTACCTGGGCAATGGCGGCTCTGGCACTGTACGCCATTGCTGAGGACTCCGAATTCCAGGGGAAACAGACACATGGGTAGAGCCAGGGTAGTTGGATCCAGCCTTTGGGGCCACAAGGCAACCTGGGCATGGGCACTGGGGTACACAGTTCAGCTCCTGGTCTTTCTACCAGCAGCTTACCTACCTCTGGCAGTGCCCTTTCCTCCAGGCCGCTACTAGCTCCTTCATAAAATGGAGAGGTCCCAGCCCATGTGGCTCAGTGGTTGATCATCAACCTATGAACCAAGAGGTCATGGTTTAATTCCCGGACAAGGGCACATGCCCAAGTTGCAGTCTCAATCCCCAATGGGAGGCGTACAGGAGGCAGATGATCAGTGATTCTCTCTCATCATTGATGTTTCTATCTCCTGCAACCGAGGTACATGCCTGTGACTGGAATCGAACCCGGGACCTTTCCAACTGCAGGCCAACGCTCTATCCACTGAGCCAACCCAGATATGGCACCCTCCCTCTTTCTCTCTGTGCCCAGGTCTCACTTCTGCCTTTCTGCCCTCTCTCTAGGAGCTCCCATCCTCTTGTCACTGACCCCACCAAGGCCTTGTGCTTTCCCTAGACCAGTGTTTCCCAAAGTGTGGTACGCATACCCCCAGGGGTATGGGAAGAGTTTTGTGGGGGTACGCGTTGCACTGGAGTTTGGTGGGGATATGCACTGCTCTGTGCTTAGCTGCGTCTAATTCTACCTTCGCATGAGTATGAGTTTCAGCGTTACGAAAATTATAGAAGGGGTACACATATGTCAAAAGTTTGGGAAACACTGCCAGATTGGAAGCTCTGTGAGTGCAGGGAGAGGCCATGTGCACTGCACACAATGCCTGGCCTGCAGCAGGGGCTCAGGAATGTTTGATGAGTGATGAATCCATTCTCCAGTCCCCCTGATGACAGTGGCTACACTGGGACCTGGGGCTCTTGGCCAAGAAGTCTGGGAATACCTGTGAGGTGGCCTTGCTCAGGCCACTGTCAGGCTGCCCAGGCCAGGGGTCCCCGAAGAGATGGCAACCCCTGGTCCACACACACTCCAATCTGGGATGGGGGCACAGCCCTGTGGCTCAGAGGGGCACCTATAGGTCATGATGGGGCAAGATGGAAAGGACGCCAGGATGGAGCAAGCATCAAAGAAGAGGGTGTCTGACCAAGGCCCTGGGCCAGTCCTCAGAGGGCCCCATCCCCAAGCCAAGGGCAGGCGGGGAGTGGGGGACAGCCAAGAAGCTGGGCTCACCACAAGGCTTCTCAGGGCCAGCGTTGAGGAAGCTTTTCCTACAGCTCCGTCCAGTGTTGACTTATGTTTGGAAGCGATCTCAAAAAATGAGTTAATTGTGGGCAAGGCTGGGATGCAGGAGAGGGTGGGGGAGGTGGGGAGGCGGATCAGGGCTGGGAAGAGCTGTAGGGAAGGAGCTTCCCATCACCGCCTGGGGTTCAAGGTCTCGGTCTGGGGCCACATGGGAGTGCATGAGACCTGGGAAAAGTTGGAGAGTGGTCAGGGTGGGGTGTCCCAGGCAAGTGGGCCCCTCAGCCTCTGCTCACTTGGGTCGGGGTAGCAGTGAGATGGACAGCATGCAGGGAACAGCAGGGACACCCCATCCCCTGTCCCATCCAGGGCTCTGGCTCACAGCCTGAATCTGGGAGTATGCCACACGCAGACTAGAGACAGGGACTGGGGAGTGAGCATGGGCAAGCACCTTGGGAGCCCAGGATGAAGCTGCCATGTGCCTGTGTGCTCATGGGTGACACGGGATGTCCCGGGCTGGCAGTCTGCTGGAGATGGGGGAGGGGAGCACTTAGGCAGGGGAGGCTCCGGTGTGACTCGGAGACTCATCAAGATTTGCGAGATTTGCAAGATTTACGTAGGAATCCTGGAAGACTGAGCCATCCACCCCCCCTCCCGCAGCCACCCCCATCCACTCCCTCCACCCCTGACCTTCAGGACAGAGAAGGAAAGAAGAGGGAGCCTGTCTCATCTAAGTCAGATGTCAGAGGCCAGGCCTCCTGCCTTCCCCTGAGGTGGGCCCTTGGAGACAACTGTGGTGGGAGTCCTGACCCTCCCCCTGCCTGGGGATGGATTCTGGAATCCTGCCCCCCAACCCATTTCCCCTGTTCGCTGCTCCCCAGGCGCTGACTAAACATCCTGCCATCTGGTTCCCATTAGCTGGGCTGGGGGTGGGGGAAGTCTGCTCCCAGGTTCTTTGGCACAGTGGCCCGGGGAAGGGAGGGACCCTTGCTCCTACCCACCTAGGCAGGAAGGGGCGAGGCCTGGCTGCTCACTTCCCCAGCTCCCGGGGGAGTCCTGTCCCAGATGCCCTTCCTCCGAGGGGGGCCCAGTGGCCATCTACTTTGCCCTGTCTCAGGGTGCCCAGCCATCGTGGGACCTTGAAGAGCCAGCTTGCGGGGGTCTGGGCAGAACCAGAGGGGCGTTCACGTGCCTGCCCCTCTTGCACACATAGCTCACTCGTGGACTTGGGCTGAGGCAGGCAGGGCCCCTGGCCAGCACTACCCGAGCCGGTGTCTGGAGCACAGGGTGGGAGAGTGTCGACATTTTCCAGGAACACGATGCAGCCCAGGGTTGCTGGAAAGAGTTTTGGGCTCCCAGCCGTCCTTGAACTGACAGGCCATTTCATGTCAGGAGTAAGCCTCCCTGCTCAGGGCCTCAGTCTCGTCATCTCAGTGTGGTGGACATGGGCTCCTTAGAAAGTTCTAGAATCCGAGAGCTGGAAGAGGCCTAGAGAAATGGCATTAGCTGATCGAGGTCCCTTCTAGCTGCACAATCCCAGAATTCTAAGGGCAAGGAAGAGACGCCAGCTCTTTTTTTCCTCCTTCCCTTCCCTTCCATGTGACCCACTGTCCAAACATGCATGCACACTCAGCACAAGTTGGGACTCAAATTGGCAGCTCAGAGGATGTCAAAGCAACATTCTTTGTCCCTTGGGGCTCCTTAGAACTTCACAGCTGAGTCCTCTCCACCCACCAGAGGAGGACTGGAGAATGGATTCTTCACTCATCAAACATTCCTGAGCCCCTGCTGTGGGCCAGCTCCCTGCATAGCCAGCTGCCTACACTCACAGAGCTGACAGTCTAGTGGGGAGCACAGGGACCCCATTGGGAAAAAAGGGGCTGGTCACGATGATTGGAGGGAAGGGCATTTCTGACAGGGGATCATATGAGGACAGTGAGAAAGTGACATCTGGATGGAGACGTCAGTGAAAAGGAGATAGCCACACGAAAGGAACTCCAGCAAAGAGCCCTCCAAAAAAGGAGGGGCAGCCAGTACAAAGGCCCTGAGGCAGGAAACTTTGGGACCCAATGTGAGAACCAGCAAGGGCCCACCAGTGTGGTGGAGCATGCTAAGTTAGAGGTGAAGTTCATGAGAGCAGGCTAATTTTGCCTTCATTCTTGAAGGAAACAGGGACCTACTCTGGACTTCTTTTTCGAAATCCTCACCCGAGGGTATTTTTTCCAATGATCTCTAGAAAGTGGAAGGGTGTGTGGAGGGGAGAGAGAGAGGGAGAGAGAAACATCGATATAAGAGAAACACACCAAATGGTTTTGTCTCCCACAAGTGCTTCTACCGGGGCTGGGGAACCTGTAACTGAGGTACGTGCCCTTGAATAGGAATCGAACTCATGACCCTTCAGTCCCCAGGCCCAAGTTCTAATAACTGAGCCAAACTGGCCAGGGTTCTACTGAGGATGTACTTACTAGTACATGATCTCATCCTATATAATCCTACGTAATAAAAGGCTAATATGCAAATCAATCAAACAGTGGAATGACTGGTCAGTCACTATGACATGCACTGACTACCAGGGGCAGACGCTCAATGCAGGAGTTGCCCCCTGGTGGTCAGTGCGTTCCCACAATGGGTAGTGCAGCTCGCCAGAAGCTGGGCTCAGGGCTGGCGAGCACAGTGGTGCAGGAGCCTCTCCCGCCTCTGTGGCAGTGCTAAGAATGCCCGACTGCTGGCTTAGGCCCGGGGGGAGTGGGCCTAAGCCATCAGTCAGACATCCCCCAAGGGCTTCGGGACTGTGAGAGGGCACAGACCAGGCTGAGGGCTGCTTGCCTCCCTCAAGTGCAGGACTGGCCCAGGGTGGATGCTGCGGGTGGAGGAAAAGGGTAGAGTCAGAATTTTGGGCCAAGTGAGCCTGGGTTAGAAGCTGGGAGTCCAGTTCGCCCCTTTCAAGGGTGAGGCTGGTGATTAAGACAGACAAGCAGAGACATCTAGAAGGCAGTTCCATGTGTGAATCTGGAGTTCAAGGCTAAGGTCTGGGCTGCTTGTCCTGCCCTTCTATGATCCGTCATTTGACAAGTGCATCAAACACCCTACTGGGTGTCAAGCCTTCTGCCAGGGCCCAGGCCAGATGCTGGCTCTGCAGTCAGAGACATACCTTTGTGGTGACCCCCAGAGCATGGTAGTGGGCCTGTTCTTTCTCTCTCTCTCTCTCTCTCTCTCTCTTTCAACA